GAGGCTGAGCTTTCCTTCTTTGAGATTCCAATAGCATTTTGTATGTTATGTCATAATTGTTTATTCCCATTTCCTCTTCTGTACTACATTCTGATCTTTTTTGGCAGGCATTATCATCTTTTTATCTTTACATCTGTCCCAGCTGCTGTGATAGTGCTTTTCACGTCATAGACATTCAACAACTATTTGCTGAATGAATGAAGACATAAGTAAAAAGTCAAATAGTATACCGGGATTTAAAGAATGCTTTCTAATAGTTTAGGAGATGTCACAAGGCAGTACCTGACTAATTGCTGAATGAATCATACACCAGTAATTGATATAGAAATCAGAAGAGGCATCTTATACATCTTTGTATAGCCTCCAGAGCACCTAGCACAATGACTTGCTCATTGTGGAAGCTCCGTGAATGCTCTGTGAATGAATAATTACTGCTTTTGAATGAAGTGATGATGGGCAATTGAAGAACAAGCAGTATTAAGTGCTGCATTAAGAGGGACAAGTAGCTTCTTGCTTAAATATCCATCACCAGCCTCCACAGATCTGAGGCAGTGAGCATCTGCTGGGTGTTGTGGGGAGCACTGGACTGGCAAATGCTTGGGGGGGTGGGGTGGGGAGGACACAAGAAAAAGTATAAAGTATTCATTTGGGGAGAGTAGACTTAAAACTAGAAAATTTTACACACACAACAGAATGGACGTGACAGTGTTCAAAAAAACTGCACAAAATGTGCCCAACTGTGCAAACGTTTGACTGTCAGTATTTGAACACTGGGCAATGAGAGAAGGGGAAGCCCTACTTCAGTGGGATGTTTGGTAACATTTAATGGAGGGAAAGCATGTAGGGCCATTAATTCAACGACTATATGGAGCATGTATGTTCCAGGAACTCTGGTAAGTACTAGGGGAATGATGCTAATAAATGGTATTAGGTGTAAAAAGTTTGGTAACAGTTGATATAGAAAGAAGGAATAGGAGACAAAGTAACTTATTAGAGGGAAAGAAGTGTGGCTTCAAAGATACAGTCACAGGCTGCATAATGACAGATTGCATATACGACAGTGGTCCCATAAGTTTATAATGGTTATACCATATACCTTAGGTGTGTAGTAAGCTATACCATTATAAGTTTGTGTAAGTATACTCTATGATGTTTGTACAAAGACGAAATCACCTAGCAATGCATTCCTCAGAACATACCTCTGTTATTAAGACTGTACTTGGAAACTGATGACTTCAAGGCTACATAACAGGGCTAAGGGGCACCATCAAAATTAAGGTGGTTTTGCCGCACCAGGAAGTAAAAAATATCGAAATATCTTATTTCCACAGTTTCTTCATCTATATTAATGACCTCATTCTCTGACACCAAAATGGGGGGGGAGGGGTAATGCTAGTTTAAGGAGATATCTACCTCCCCCAATGGCTGTACAGAATTTTGCTATGGTAGTGCTAATAAGACTCAATTTTGGTTAAAAAGCTTATGATGAGTAAGCGACCCAGAAAACCACACTTTCAGTTTTTTATTCTCATTCTGAGTAAACATGATCATCAAGTCTTGGGGTATGGGTGACAACATATCTTTTGATTTCTATCATCAGCTACCTTTTCTTTGAAATTCTATTTCTTCTTTCTACTTTGTTATGTTTATCTTGCCAGTTATTAAGAAAAGGGACAGTCCTTCTATTGCTATTTGCCACTTTCCACCTCTACCTTTTCTGTTCTAGCTTAAACGTTTTAGACACCAAACAACTTTATGATTGCTCTGAGTTCTTTCTTTAGGAAGCCATCACTTAAAACACTTGATTCTTGAACCAAGGAGCAACTAAAGCCATTACTTTATTTGGGTGTTTCCTATTTCACTGTCTCTCAGTTGTTTTTTGGTTTTGGGGGGTTTTATTTTTGTGTGTTTTTGGTGGGTTTTTTTGTGCCCGGCCAGTTATCTCTCTGTTTTCAAACTGATCTAACAATGATACAGGGCAAGGAACAGCAGCTGCCACATAATAAAATGATCCTTGCCAATTAGGTGTAACTCCAGTAAGGCTGTCTCCCTCCCTTCTTCTTCCGAATGAGGGGTTCCATACCCTTTGCATCAGACTTAGACTTGTAGACTGAAAGGGACCTCAAGTATTACGAAACACAGAACTCTCCACTTCATAAATGATGAAGCACGGACCAAAGTAGTCAAGTTATATGAACTCATCAAATTAATAGCTGACCAAAATAAAAACTAGGTTTCCTGACTTCCAAACCAATGTTGTCTTCCTTACACCATGCTAATTTCTACTGTGTAGATAGCTAAGACATTTTTTCCTATATTGTGGGTTGAATGGGCTTTGGTGGGCTAGCTTAGGAACCTATTTTTTATGGTTGCTATGAGAAAATGAATTCTGAGTTGTGCCTCAAGAATTCGAAATACATCTTTCGACCTCCCACTCATCCTCTCCCCACCCTGGTGAATGTAGTATCTGGCCAGCAGGAATGAATGAAGAAGACTATTTTATAGTCTTAATAACTTGCTTGGAAATTAAGAGAACACAATTTATTTATCAAACCAAAGAAAATATCTATACAGGCAGATTCCTCAAAATTGAGGATTGATGTTTAGGGTGAATCTTTTAGAATTATCCAAATTAACCACTTGTCTTTCTCAGAAATAAATGTTATTAATGCTTCCTCCACCAACCAGCTGCAAAACTACACACTATTATTTGAAGGAGAAGCACAGAAAATCAACTTACTACCTGGGACATATGGGAGAGGGACCTAAAAGTCCCAGATATTGAGGTGATATAGGATTGACTAGGACCTCTCTTTTTTAATAATAAAGCAAAAAAAGGGAGGGGAGGAAGGGTAACTTAGCATAACTTGTGAAAATATTCACTGAAGTCATCTATATATTACCACTTTGCATAATTATGACAAAGCATTAGAGATTATTCTCATCATTAAATATGTCAAATTAGATTATTTTATTGCAACACCAACCTCTTGTTCATAGTTTCTTAGTTTTCATACTTTGTTGGTTATATAGTTGGGTTTTCTGCTCTCAGATTTTAATATAAGATGAAGGAACAGTGCTGACCTAGGAACTGGAGGACAATTTAGCTTCTACAGTTAGAAGCAAAGGCAGTGGCAGAGAATCCGACCAATAGCTTCACATTCTATTGAGCCAGTTTGTAAAAATCTTGGGGAAGAATATGGCAGCAGTGCCGTCTCCCAAAGCATCATATAGAAAACTTTTTAATAGTCTCTTTGGACATCAGCTTATCGTTTAGTTTCTGATCTGCATGGAATGGCAAATCCATGATTTTGTTACATACTGTATTCCTAAAAATGTGTTACAAATGTGTTGAGTATGTGGAAGTTGAATAAATTTATGTTATAAATAAATGGTTGTTTGTAGAGAATGAACAATAGTACCTCACTATTAGAGATATTTTTGATAACATCTTCCCAGTGTTTCATCTAAATTCTTTCATTGTCTTCTTTTACATAAAACCAACCAGCTTGGATGATCAGTAAACAACCAATAAGGGCTTAGATGTGCCACTTTTGACAAGTGTCACACTCATGAGAACCAGGCCTTTCAACAGCATTTTCAATTTTATGTTTTCCACATATTTTCATATAAGAATAAAATGCATTAAAATATTCAAATATTGCACAAACAGTGATTTGCATACAAAGATGCTAACACCATTGGCTTGTAGTAGGTTTTGCCATGTTATTGATCTGAAGACTTGTTCATCAGAGAATGTACAAAAATCTAAATTTGGCATCCAAAAGGGGGCTTAGAGGTATTGAATGTGAAAAAAAAAAGTGTCACTTTTGTCAAAATCAAATGTGTTTGAGATGGAGACTGTTTATAAATAACAGGGAGGACAATTATACCAACATTGTAATTGCTTGTTCTCTTTGTCTCACATTCCCCTATTTCTCCCAAGTTAAGTGGCAAGGAGAGTAAAGGGACCACTGGAGGAACACTTGCAGAATGGCTACATGTACCAGGCCTTGTACAGGATAACTTGTACAAATCCCCTGATGATGGACATAGCCAACAGGGTATCTTACATCAGAAGAAAGTAAAATAAAATAACCCCAAGACTCCAGAAGCTAACTTCAATAAGACTTGTTTGTTCGACTGAGGAATAAGAGTGAGAAAGAACCTTTAATCGTTAGAAAAGGACCCAATAAAACTGTACATAAATGGATCATTAACAGTGTGGCTTTTATATATCTGTGTAGTATGGAGAGTAATTTCATAGGAAACAACCAGATTTCTGATACTTTTTAAAGAAATAGTTCTGATGCTAATTTTACTGTATGTCTAGGTATGATTAAGGACTTATGCTTTGAAGGTAGATTTATGTGCCAGGGACTCAAAATTCATGACATATTTAAGGCTCTACATTCTCTGCTCAAACAGATGTACCAAACCTGGTACTAAGAATAAGTGTGTAAGGAAATAGATAACTATTTCTATTTTAGGTTCTTTCTTCCTCTTCAGACCCCGCAGCAGAGAAAAAGTCAAGAATCCTCCTCTCTCGATAGCCAGATCTAAGACCTAAACGGGCTATTGAGCAATAAACGGGGTCTCTAGCATCACAATTTTCTGGTTACCAACCATTTTTAGGTGTTTCCTTGAAACATCTCTCTTCTGAAAGCATTCTGAAGTATAAATGCCCAAACTGAAAAAAATACTTGGGAGTCCCATGCCTGGAAGATATGGAAAAAGGAAACTTCCAAAAGGCTGTAGTCAGTCAATGATGAAATTTCTACTTTTGGGCATTTCTTCAGAGAGAGAGGAATTGGCTGTTCAGAAATAGAAAGTGTCCTAGAATCAGCAGGCCCAGATTTTAGACCCACTTCTTCCTCTAATCAACTGAGTACTCTTTGTTCCAGACTTCTGTGGAACCTCAGATTTGCCTTCTATATAAGAGGAATTAGTACTAATCCCCCTTTAAAGGCTTTTTCAGTTTGCTGTATGTGATCAGCCCTAGCACTTAAACACCCTCCTGAATATACAGAAAAGTGGAAGAATTATTTACAAATTAGGACATATCTTTACTTGTATACTATAAATCCTATAACCTCTTCAAGAAATTAGGCCAGACTAGCAAATATGTAAGGACTAATGTAAGTACATTTCAGTAAAACCAGTTGTAAGGTACATTTCTAATCAATCTTTTTAGGCTTCTGATATGGCAAATTAGAGGTAAGTACTCTGATTAAGTCTTCATCCTTTTGGCAAACAAGTATATGGATCAATGTACTTGGCCATAGTGAAAAATGCCCTTAGTTTTTCACTTCTGTATGATGTCTTCATAATGTCTTCTTCAAGGAAAGTCCAAACTAGCAAAGCTGCAACAATATCAGCAAAAAGTGGATCTTAAGGTCAGCAGTCATGCCATAAAACTCAACATGAAGACATCATTAACAGCCTTAAATTCCTGAAGTAGGCGGGCGTTAGAAGGTGGAATCAGCGACCTCTGGGGGGAACAGGTGGAGGAGGATGGAAGGTCTCCCTGGTTGGAGGCCTGAAATGAAAGATAAAGCAACTCTATTTAAAAAGTAATTCAATTAAATAGTTCTTTGGCATCCACAATTTGTTGCAAACTTGGTATACTATGCACAAGACACATTCCTTAATTGAGACTGGACACACATATGGACCTCTGAGTGACATACAATCCTGGCTCCCCATCCTGGCTGCACATTAGAATCACCAGTGGAGCTCTTAAACATCCTAATTCCCAGGCTCCATCCCAGACCCACTTCATCATAATCTCTAGATGACAGGGCTCAAGCACCAAAAATGTTAATAGTGTTCCTCTGCCAACGAGTTGTATTAAACAAGCCTTTTATTTTCTGATGCTTTGTCATCTTGGGGCCTTGCTGACCCTCCTAGGGTAAGCTAATTCCCAGAGGTAGCAAACAAGTTGCCTGCCTGCAAGCAACAAGCATGCCTTTCACATGCAAACCAACCAACTCAGACCCATACCTCAACCACCCCTTTTATGGGGCTGTTACACTCAGAGTCACTGTCCATTTGCCCTATCACTCCAGAGCCTGGTACCAGAAAACAAGGGACAGCCCTGTGCTCCAGAGCCCACTGAAATTATCCAAACTAGCCATTCCTAAATCTTCTTACCCTACCTCACCTGTTTCTTCCCATGGAAACCACAATACAAGCTCTTGCCCACATTTTCCCTCACTCCCTCTGCCTTCTAACCCTGTGCTTCCCCATGTGGCCCCCTGTGGTATGGCATGTCCCCTCCTCTTGGTATCTGTGAATCATCTCCTGATCCGTTGACTTTGTCAGGCCTAAATAATAATAAAACCTGTAGTTTAAAATACCAAAGATTCTAATAGGCAGCCAAGCCAGAGACACACTGGAGTAGAGAGGTCTACTAAAAAAGGAACTGAGAAATTCCAAGCCTGCTTCTTAGGACTACTTCCTCTTGGTATCACTAAGTGTTATCTCAACTCCAAATGTGCTTTCCCAGAAGCCCCTCTTATCTTATTCTGGAAAGCTTTTGAATGGTCCTAAATGACACTCCAGGTAGACTAGGGTGAGTGTGTTTACAGATAGGCTCAACGACTGCAGATGGCATTTCCACGTGTGTGCTATAAAACCAATATTTAATTTCCTTAGAAGCAAGTCAATAAGTCAAGAAAGAGACCTTTGTCAGGTGCTGTAATTGAACCACACTACCCTGGAGTTGCATACTTGAGGACTGAGTGAATGAGTAAACATTTATTAAATGTCTTTTGAATGCAAGTTTTGTGTAGGTCAGCGAAATGACAAAATAATTGGGGAAAGAGGTGCTGTCCCAGGAATAAGAAAGGGAGGCAGAAGTAAAAAAAGAATGACCACAGACATCCTCAGGAGGCCCTGCTCTGCTCCCCAGGAATAGATGGTTTTGTGTGGTTGTGAGTGACTGAGCTTCATCCAACAAAAACAAATGGATGGTCTGTCTCCTTCCTTCTCCTCAGCCTGCCCCACAAACTGTGGGCTTATAGGAGAGAGCCGAAGGACAGTCGGGTAACAGTATTCATTACCTGAGCAGGTTTAGGCAACCTTCCTTTCCCTTCCCTTTCCCTCCCTCTCTTCCTTTCTCCTTTCTCCCTTCCTTCCTTCCTTCCTTTTTTCCTTTTCTCTCAACAAACATTTGTCTACTATGCATCTACTCCTGTGTGTGGTATATAACAGCAAGTAAGATGGGCATGAGTCCAACCCTCAAGATGCTGTAAATGTGCAGCTGAGACAGACAACAGGCAAAATCAGTGAGCTGTACTGAGTGTTTGATAGGAGAAGTTCAGAACCCATGGGAATGTACAGCAGAGACATTTATGAGCACATCTCCATGTGTGCAAGTGCAGCTTCCCTGAAAGTGTTTTCTCATTTGCCAAACAGAGGTAAAGATGTCTACACTGGAGTACTGTGTGAGGCTTGGAGGTGACAACTGGAAAGTACATAGCACAGCTTCTGGCTTAGAGTAGGCACTCAAGAAATAAAGCTAATGATTTTATTATGATCGTGAAAGATCTGTTCTGAGATCTTTTCCCCATGTATGCCCCGTGAGCCTTACATTTTATCTGCCACTACAAACAAGTCACGATTCCCTTCCAGCCTCTCTTCTTCTTTCTGCTGCCCCAAAGTGCAGTTAGGGTGAGCATAAAGCATACGTACCATCTCTATGTTTCATTCTGAGGAACAACTCTAGCTAAAGATTGGAAGCTCCATCTCAGTGAAATGGATTTGAGATTAGAGATGTATCAGGACCAGGGAGGTAAAAGGACACTGGGAAGCTGGAGCTGAAGACACGACCATCCTGGGCACTGGCTGCTTCCTCCTCCCAGTTCAGGGTGAGGTCTCAGTGATGATGAGTTTGGTTCAAGAACTCAGCAATCCTGATGTTGGTTAGTGTTCTTTTAAAGTAGGGCTGTTATTTTAGCTCGTATGCATTTGTGCTGTCATACACAAGTTTTAAAATGTTTAAAATATTCTTTTAACTTCTCTAACAGCCTCTGTCTTGTTCTCTGACCTCTCTAGTCCCTGCTAGAGACTCCACAGACCTCTTTACACTAAGCCTCTAAAGGATTAACTCTTGGTACTACAGGAGGCCTTCAGAAGTATGTTCTTTTTAAGGCAGGGGGTGGAGAGTCGCTGGCCCGTAGAGGGATCTGAACCTCTGACCTTGGTGTTATAAGGCTGTGCTCTATTCAACTGAGCTAACCAGCCAGACCCCAGAAGTGTGTTCTGATTAGGTGGTGCATAGATTGTTTGTGATAGGCAAACCACTCGTCAAAGGCAAAATAAGCTCCAGAACAAAGAAGCAATCACTCAGCAAGAATTTGGCTTTTTTTTTCCCAACTGTCACAGGATCTTATCAATGTAGAGCATGATATTGTCAGCTGCCTACCTGAAGGAGCAAGAGAAATGCCACGCAAAAGTATAATGCATCTACTCCTGTTCCTATCACCTTCTGCCTTCCTTTTCTTTGTTTCTTCCACTAAATATACTAGGAACTTACAGCAAGTGGAAGTGTGAAGTCTCCTTCCACTATCTATAACCCCCTACACCATGGTAGATAACTTGATGGCTAATTGTTTATAAGCTTAGGAAGTCCAACTCAAGCAGTACCAATCCATCCACCCATCCATTCATTCATTTATACAATAAGTATTTATGAAGTTCCAAATGTGTGCTAGTTACTGTGCCAGGCACTGGGGATCATAGAAAAAGATTCAAAAATCAAAAACAGCTTCTATTCTCACAAGGTTCACCATTCACTTGACAAGACAGATATGTAAACAGGGTTGCAACATGGAATGTATTATAATAGAGGTGTTTGGGAAACCAGAAGAAGACTCACTCTGCATGGAAACATCAGAGGCTTCACAGAGGAGGTGATGTGTGGACTGAGTAGGAATTTTCTAAGTAGAGATTAGAAAGGAGTAGGAAGACAGCATTCCAGGCCAAAGGAACAGACTGGGCAAAAAAAACAGTATGAAATAGTACAGCTCAGTGGGAATTCTTAAGGGGTGGAGCATAGGCGAATACAGGAGAGGGGTGGGACTTGAGGGTAGGCAGGACCAGAGCATACTAAAATATACAGAATCAGATTTGAAGCCTGTATTCCAGGAAATGACTTCATCAGCTATTTCTGTTCTGGAATGTGCACTCCGGTTGCAGTGTGGAGGAGGGACTGACTGGAGGTATGGAGGTAAGTGTGGGCCTACAGGGGTGAACTTGGTGACTGGCAGATGGAAAGGAGGGGGTGGAGCTGAGAGCTGAAAGGGCAGCAGCACGGACAGACCTGGAGACACACTGGACGTGGGAGCTGCAGGGGAGGCATGAGTCGAGGATGGCTCCTGGGGCTTGGGAATGGAGAGAATGGTACTGCTATCCTACACTGGGACCTCATGAGAAGAAGGCAGTTTGGGCAGAGAATGTAGGCGGGCTGATGAGTTCAGTTTTGCACAAGCTGTGTTTGAGATATCTGTGGGACATCTGAGTGAAGATCTCCAGTCAACAGTAGGAAAGAGAAGGCCTAGTTGGAGATGGAGATTGGGAGTTTTTGTCTCCTGGTGGCAATTCAAGCTCTGGTGACAGCACACAGAGTAAGCAGAGGAATGTGTCAGCACTGGGACAGCACGGTGAGTGCATGGAGGCTGCAACCCCCAGCACTGCTTGAGAGAGGAGGGGGGTTCAGGAGAACATGGGCAGAGAACATGCTAATTTCCAGACCTGAGAGTGGAGCTGAGGACACCAAGGTCAGCCTCCCCTCCCGTCTGTAAGTAGGTCAAGCATTGAAGCCATTCAGGAGAGAGGCTTGTTTTATTCTTTGCTCAAAGATCTTCTCATTTTATCATGAAAACTGCATACACACTTACAAAACAACTGCATACTTGCAAATCTTTTTTCACACCAAAAATGCACCCAAGTCTATTAATTACAGACTTCTTTGCAAACACTGCTTCCTTAGTAAAAAATGTTTTCCTCCTTTTCTCTCCCCATCCTTATCACAACATGCTTCCAGACTCCGCAAATAATTCATCTGCCATCTCTTTTTACACATTTAAATGCATCCCAGTTTCTATCCTTTAATTTTTGGAACCTCTTTCCCTGGTTGTTCCCTTTTTCTCTTCCATTAACAAAATTCCACAGAATCTTTTTAGCTATAGTTTCAAGACTTACAACATTTTTATCTTGGTCCAACTAGACAACTGCCTTCAAAGTCTGCAAACTTCAGGAATAAAAGGTCTTGGATCTTGGATCTCCTCCCCCAAAACCTAGACTTACTTAGACAGGTGTAACACAAAGATTAAGAAACTAGGTCCTGGAGTCATGTGTACCCAGGTTTGCCACACAGAGCAAGTCTCAACTCAATCTCAAGCCCCAGTTTGTACATCTGCAAAATAGGATAATACTAAATTAAATATCTACCTCTTAGGGTTGTGAAGATAATTAAATGAGATAATGCGTTTAGTGAGTTTAACATACTACCTGCTACATAGTAAGCTCTCAGTAAATAATAGCATCTATTATCATAATCTCTCGTGGTAAGCCCCCTCCCCAATCACCAACTATACAATAATTTTCAAGCAATAGAACATACTGCAAATTCAGGGCATTAGACGAGATTATTGCTAAGACTCCTTCTGGGACTAATATTCTAATATATGCCCTCTCGTTTATACCAGTGAAACATGCCTGGTGAGCGTGCTGCAGCTTGGGGCTGTGGCACGTTTGGGTAGCAAGTGTCAGTTTATGACTGCTGCTGGGAGCACATGGAAAAGTGGAAAATAGCAAAGGGAGAAATGGAAAGTTCCTTAGCATAGAGTCAGGCTCTCTTTCCAGAAGACTGGAAGAAAGATCTTCTTTCTGCAGTTTCTGAACAAACTCCACTGATGAGCTTCATCTAAGTTAAAGTTTCAAAATGAAAAAAAAAAACCTTGATTGGGGGGAAAAAAAAGCTTCCTCCTTTCTTATCCATCTCCCCTCCCCCAACATACCTTATATTTTAAACATCAAAGAATTAAACTCCTAAGACAAGCCTAGGCTTTTATTCCCAAGGGCTCCTTTCTGCATGGACAGACAGACAAGCTAGCTTTGACCACTTTTTCCATTACTCCACAAGACCATAGAAAGGTTCCTACCAGAGGCCCAAGGACCCAATAACACAGATGTACATCAGAGCCCAGTAAATCAGTTAAACTCTTTAGTTTGATGCTCACCTCCAAATCTCCAGGTGTTTACTCCTCTCCTGTACAAAAAATCACTCTTAAAGTTGAGCTCTGACTATAGGCCAAGAATCCAATCCTCATGACTCTGTGAGGAAGGTCTCTTTCCATCCCCATTTCACAGTCAAAGACATTGAGGCACATGAAAGTCAGATAATTCATCTAAGTTCACAAGTGGCTGCCAGAGACGTGAACCCAGTAGGGTGGCTCTCAAACCATGCTCGATACCACCATCCGAGGCCACCTCTCTCCTTTACTTTCATTTCCAACTCCTTAGCGCTTCTTCCTCAAAAGGCACTGTCCCCACAGGACAGCCAAGGGGATTAGTTATTAGGGAGCTGAATTCTAACCAGACAGATAAAATTGCTTAAAACGTTGACATTTACCAACGTACTTCGTTTATGAAATATTGCATTTGATATTTAAGGTCTTCGCAACCAAATAATGCATCACCTACATTAATGAAGCATCCATACTGAAATGTGTCAAAAGTAGGCATTTCAGTTAGCTCTTGAAATCATTCTTAGATCACAAATGTCCCCAAATCTGACTCCCCTCTAGAATGCAGAGAGTGAGGAAAAAATGTCACATCAGCTTCAACGTACCTCTGTGAGGCAGCTCGAGGAGGCACCCTGGGGGGCCTCTCTAGGGGCATGGTGGGTGTTCCGTCCACTTGTGGGGGGCCTGGACTATGACTTCTGGTAACCTCGGGGACTTCATTATCCTACAGCAAACAAGATGAGAAAGAAAGGTGACAATTACATTAAGCAACCAGTGTAGTTGGACACCCATATCCCAAAAGCCCCTCAGCCCTACTTAGGCTTTGGCTGAAGGCTGTTCACAAACTGATAGTGTCCTCTTGAAGTCACCAAGGAACACAATCTGGCTCAAATTGTCATTAGTTGCCCAACCTTTAAATCTTTGCTGCTCAGACTGTGGTCTGCAGCCCATCAACATCAGCATCACCTAGGAGCTTGCTAGAAACCTCCTCCCTGGGTCTCTTTCTCAGGAATCCCTGGAGTTGGTAGTGACCTATGTGGCTCCTCCTGCTTGTCTCAGCACTGGTAACTGGAAGAAGGTAGACACGCTGACCCAAATTAGGCCAACTTGGAACTGGGCCTCATCCTAAAGCAGCAATTTACTTCTGCTCAGGGGACTTGTAGTTCTCTGGGGACTGTGTCACTCTACACGTGGAGAAGCAGAAGAAGGCAGTGTGTGAGAAAAGAAGAAATCAGATATGCACAGAGATGCAGAGACCAAAGAGCTTTTGGCCCTGGGACACATGGAGCAGTGACCTCAGCTCCCTCTGGCATGCATCGCACTCGTAATCCATGCCCCGAGCACAATTCCTGTCCCTGGATTCCCCCAGACTCACCCAGCTCCCTCCCACAGATGCCCCTTTTGGCTTAACTAGTCTGAGTGGTATCTATTTCCCTCCCTCCCTCCCTCCCTTCTTATAGAGATGAAATACACATAACATAAAACTAACCATTTTAAAGTTAACAATTCTGTGGCACTGAGGACATTCACAATGATGTGCAAGCAACACCTCTATCTATTCTCAAAACATCTGCTTCACCCTGAAAGGAAACCCCAGGACCATTAAGCAGTTTCTCCCAATTCCCCTCTCCCTCTAGCCCTGGCAACCACCAATATGCATTCTGTCTCTATGGATTTGCCCATTCTAGCTATTTCATATAAATGGAACCCTATAATATATCTTTTTGTGTCTGGCTTTTTTCACCTGAATTTCTATCTCTTGCATGAAACAACCCCTAGGACAATACAGACGGGGGTGGGGGTCCCCGCTCTCACCTCATTGTCCCCCTCCATCCCGCTGCTCACACTGAGGAGGCTCCGGGTGCTGGATCGGTTACTCACACTGCCTAAAGTGTAGAAATAAAATCAGCCAAACGGTGGATTCTGTCAGGCTAAAATAAAATGCAGAACTCTAGCACTTACTTATTTTTACTGATAGAAACAATACATATATTGTGAATACAGGATTCTTCAAAATGTGCTCATCTTATTCCATTTTATTAGAGTTCAGTTTTTCTTTCAGCATAGAACAAACAATTTACTGTTTGGTGACCATTTTTGGCTTTATAGCTACCATTTATTGAGGGCTTACCACATGTTAAATGCGTTAAAACCTTGACTGCCACTTAATCCCCATGAAAATCCTGTTTGGTATCGGCGTTCCGATTTGACAGATGAGGAAGCAGGGTACTCTGATTCTCAGTTGTTCAGTGCTATTTCTAAAATATGCAAACTAATTTTGTTGCTGCAGTTTTTTCTTATCTGGGAATTATAGCAAACACATGCATGTATCATACATGCAGACACACCTACTAAGGGACCAGTTTGACCCAAAACAAAATACAAAGCACAAATGCAAAAGTGTAATTTATGCTCGTGGTAGGAAATGTGACTGTATGAATTTAGGCACTCAAGGCTTTTGAGTTGGGAATTTATCACCCGTATCATAAAAATAGTGTGAGCCAATAGAACTTTCTGGAAATGTTCTGCTCTATGCTATCCAATAAGGTAGCTAGACTGAAATGTAGATAGTGCAACCATGGAAATGAATTTTAAATTTTATTTAGTTTTAATTAACAAATCTAAATAGCCACTCATGGCCAATGGCTTCCGTACTGAACAGCACAACATTAGAACAAGCCCAGGCACATGGTGATCTAGCACTGAAGGAGGAAGAGTAGAGTTCCTCAACTCAAATAGGAGATTTTAACTTTATTTATCAATATTGCCACTAACAGTATTGCCAGATCTTAGGTTTGCTGAATTTCAATTTAGAATAGCTTTTAATCATATTAGTTTATAGGTAAATAGTCTTGGCTCTGACTTTATTATGGTATCAGCTTTTACCTAATTAATTTAGACGTTAGCTTGAAAAGAGCAAGTTAAGATTATAATTTTGGATCATTTCTTGGGGCAGATTTTAAAATTTAAAGTAATGTGTCAAAATATATCTATAAGGGGATTCAGAGTTTGTTAATACAGGAACGTGCGATCCTGTTCCTTTCTATTCAGTTACCCACACACAGCACTCACTGTTCACGTGGCTAGAAGGTCCTTTCTCCCCACTCCCCCAGCCCATTCCTGTCCACAAGTCTAAAACCTCCTCAGTCTCCAATGCTCAGGACAGATGCTATAGAAACCTCTCCAGATTCCCCCAACTAAAAGTGACCTCTCAGGTGGTAAGTGTATACAAACTTGTAGAGAGGTAGGAAGAATGGGATCTAGTGTTCTATAGCAACACAGGGAGACTACAGCTAACAACAATGTACTGCGTACCTTTGAACAGCTAGTGGAAATGATGTTGAATGTTTCTTTGCTGAAGAACTGTCCAACACAAACAGGTGACAAATGTCTGAGGTGATGAATATACTAAGCGCGCTGATATGATCATCGCACACAGTATGAAGGTACCCAAATATCACATTGTACTCCATAAATATATACATTATCATAAGTCAATTAAGAAAAATAAAGAGAGAGAGAGAAAAAAAAAAGAAGTAGAGAGTAGAATAGAGGTTACCAGAGGCAGGGAAAGGGAGGGGATGGGGACTGGGGAAAGCTTGATAGACCCATAAAAATTACAGTTAGATAAGAAGAATAAGCTCTGGTGCTCTAGGGTGACAATAGCTAATAATATCGTATTATATATTTCAGGATAGCCAGAAAAGAGGATTTTCAATGTTAGAACCACAAAGAAATGATAAGTGTTTAGGTGATGGATATGCTAACTATTCTGATTGGATCATTATGCAATACATGCATGTATTGAAACAACAAACTGTATCCCACAAACAAATACAATGAAAAAGATAAGTAAATTTTTAAAAAGTAAATGAAAGTGACCACTTGGGCCAGTGGGTGCCCATCCCTTGTGGCTAAGTCTCCCCACATCATTCATCACCACCCATCACATTCCCTTACAATAAACCTGACTCATTTTAAAAGTTATCCACTAGCAGGAAGTAAAAAGTTGTCATAGGCACTGGTTTTGTGACTCTGGAAATTCATACTCATCACCTCCCATTGTCATTTCCCTTGGCATTCTTAAGTCTTTAACCCCAACGTTTGGTTCCGAGCCTTGGCTCCCCTGGTCCAACTGTCCTGGCCCCCTCCCCTCTCCAGGCTGATGACCTGCTTGCCCACATCCCCTCTGGGCTGCACAGCTGGTAGCAGGCAGAGCAGTGTCCACTCCTTCCAGGCTTCTGTCATTAGGGAAGAAGTATCAGACAATCATCTAACTCATGCTATTTCCATACTTTCTGTCCTCTATTACAAAACCCCTAAAGACAGGCTCTGGTTCTTTTCCACCTTTGTGTCTCCAGTGTACAGTCTAGCTCAGTATACACAGAGCTGTCCTCAATATGTGGTGGACGAGTGATTGCAGAAAAAAATGGCCATGTATATAACATGAGCCCTAAGGAACTTAAGCCAGACAACCCAGGAGAAAGTCAACGGTTTTTCTATAATGAAACTCTTGTTCTCTTAAACATAACACTAACACTTAAACATAACACATAACAATATCTGGGGCTTAAATTTTTAGTTATAACTAGATTTAACGTGCAACTGTTTTTCTGCTATTCCCAAGAGATGATAGCTGCACCATGGTAAAGACAGTGCTGTTTTTAGGTGTGATTCTGAGGGTTGAGGGGCAGTTGGTGGCTCATCCTCACTCTCCCTCCCTGCATTGGGAAATATTTTTGTAAATAGTTCCAAAAAGCAGTATGTCCCCAGGGTTAAGAACACAGGAAGATCTGGATGTGTATCCCAGACACCCTTGGCTTACTTGCCCAAAGACCCAGGACTAGTTGCCTAACCTCTCGAAGTCTCCATTTCCTTATCTAGAAACTCACAACATTGTGGTATAGAATGAATTAGATCAGATGGTAACACGCTTGGCACAGGGCCCACAAAGAGTAAGCATTTGAGGGCCGGCCCGGTGGCGCACTGGATAGTGCGCCGCTTGGGAAGCGCGGTGGCGCTCCCGTCCGAGGGTTCGGATCCCACATACAGACCGGCTCCCGCTCACTGGCTGAGCGAGGTGCGGGAGCAACGCCGAGGCTTGCGATCCCGTTGCTGGTCCCCGGTCCGGTACGGGGGCAACACTGAGGGTTGCGATCCGTTGCCGGACATGGAAAAAAAGACAAGAGACAAAAAAAAATAAATAAATAAATAAAGAGTAAGCATTTGATTAATAGTGGCAGCTATCATTGTCATCATCATCATCATCATCAATTTCAAGATGGTAGACTAACCACAGTGACCCCAAATGCCCCTCACTTTCCAGTATCCATGCTTCCTATGGCTCCCTCCCTCCTGCACTCTGGGCTTAGCCGTGTGACCTGTTTTGGCCAATGTGACATAGCCAGTGAGATAGAAGCCGAAGCTTCATAAAGCACTTGCACACTGGGGCTTATCCTCCTGGAATATTCCCTTTCTGCGTCTTGCTGCCATATAAGAAGTTCAGGTTATTGAAATAAAGGCCACATGTAGAGAGCCCTGGAGGATGAGTGGCCATCTTGGATGTTCCAGCCCAAGCTGAGCTTACAGCTGAATTCAACTGCATGAGTGACCCCCGCTTATGCCAGATGGAGGAGAGATGAACCATCCCCTCCGAGTGCAGCCCAAGTTGTAGAATCAGGCATAAATAAATGGTTATGTTACGAGCCACTAAGTTTTGGCATGGTTTGTCACATAGCAATAGATAACAGGAACTGGATACAGTTTATAGCCACAAAGTAGAGTGAAATCCATTAGTCTGTACAATAACATTTTCTGACCAGATGAGCTAGCCAGCCCTGGGCAACAAAGGCAACAAACCACTGCACAAGCTAAAATTCAGTTTATTCTTTCCCTCTTGTCGTCATCCCAAGCTATCCCAAGGTAACACATACACATACAGTGTTTTCAATTACTCTGCACCTGAAGTGCGTACTTTGCATTTGTCTTGTTAAACTTCCAGCTGTTGCTCGCCTCCCCACGCCCTGGAGTGCATGGCCCTCATCACCCTGAGAGGGCTCCCCCTCCGTCCCACATGCCTGAGAGATGGGCCACCTGCGCCTTGCTTCCTCTGCCACCCCAGGAAAATCTCTCCCATTTCTGAACTTGTCACAATTCTCAAATTGCCTCAGGGGGGCTGTTGACACACATTACCACCCCCATTACGTTAGGGGAAGTTCTCTCTTCTGTCTGGTCTAGACTTCCCATGTAGTTTTGTGATAAGCTTTGGATTTGTTTTGACAAGTAATGGTAGCAGGAACATTATTAACCTGAAAGAGAGAAGAGCTGGGTTCTACTTCCACCTTTGCCATTCAATGGCTGCGTGACCTTGGGCAGAATTCTGCCTCTCTCTGGGTAGCAAAGACCCCATCTATAAAGTAAGGAGGGAAACTATTTCAGAAGTTCTTGACCTAAGTCCATGGGTGGGCAAAATTTGTGTGTGTGTGCGCACGCACATAGACACATACATGTTCATTTTCCTAGGAAATTGATCCAGAGCATATATCAGATTCTCAAGGGGATATGTGATGCAGAAAAGACTAAGAACCCCTGGATTAGATGACCTTCCTACTCCAACATTCATTTTGGGGTTGTCTGCTTGACATTTAAGGAGCCATGAGTCCTGAAATTCAGCTTCTCTCTTGCTCTTATATTGCTTTCCTAGATGTTTTGTTAACACTGAAATATATGAAAGAAGAGAAACTAAATCTGCATACTTGGCTTGAAAAGCCAGCGTGTCTGGAGTCAGCTAACACTGCCCTCGATAGAGAAACAAAGCCCCCAGCTCCTGCCTGCACATCAGCAGGTATTGTCTATTGCAATCAGACTCCTATTGAAGCTTTCAAGCCAAAAAGGAAGACATTTCTTAATTAGAACCTCAACCCACCTTAAAGGTGGAATTCTCAAATTTGAGTCCATTGTTTTCTAATGTTTCTGACTTTGTGCCCTTTCCTTCCCCTTACCACAGCTGAGGAAGCAGCAAGAATAGTAGTTAACAGTCTTGGCTCTGGATCCAGACTGCCCGAATTCAAATCCCAGCTCTACCATGTTAGCTAGTTATCCTAGGGCAAGGCACTAAGCCTCTAGTTTCCTTCTCGGTAGACAGAGGTGATAGTACTTATCTGATAGAGTTTTGTGAGAATTAAACTATGAAGAGACTTGGCATATAATAAATGCTCAATCAATGTTTATTATTATTAGGTTTTGCTATTTATAAAGGGAATAGCATAATAATTATCATACATCCTAGCTTCAGAGCATATCAGTGTAAAGGATCTTTGGCTGCTGAAAAAAAGCAAATCTCACAGGTCAACTGTTCCCCATTTTTTACACCTTTCAAACCCAAATCAGGCCCTTTTGAGATCTCCTGGGCTCATAGCGGAATGCAAAGGCCCTAAGGTGCCAGGTGGAGTCCAGCTGTGGAGACACCCCTGAACAGCTGCTCACTTGCTGTGCTGGAGGTACTGTCTGTTTTCCAGTCTCCTCGTCTGAGCTCCGTCCTGGGGGGGAAGACGCTTTTCCTGGGGCCACTCTCGTAGACTCCGAACTCCACTTTCCCGGGCAGGTGCTGTGAGTGCCTAATTGGGACTGTGATCTCCAAGTCTGGAATTAGAGAGGAAAGAAGGATAAGTTTCAAGATATCAGACTGTCATTTGTCAAACCACTCAACTGCTCCCTCTCCACCTGCCTCCCTTGCCAGAGCCTGCAGGGAGCCTGAGGGAGAGGGGAGGAGAGGGGAGGGGAAAGAAAAAAGAGGAACAGAGGGGAAGGGACCTTAGATTGGTCCTTCAGCTCTTCAGCAAGGAAACTCCACAGAATCCTGTGTGGCCACTGCTGGGCGACAGAAGAGAGGGATGGAGGAATGTGAGGAAAGGGCAGAGAAGCGCTCCCTGAGGGATTAGAGAAAGGCTCGGGCCCCCAGCTAGCCGTGGAACTTGAGTAAGTCATTAACCCCTCTGAATTATTCCGTTGTCTGAAGAGAAGGGTTATGTACGTCATCCACTGAGATAACATGTTATCCTGTGCACCAGGGAGTTCTAAGAGCTTCCATATTTATAGCTCATTTAATCCTCATGACACCCAAGAAATAAACACTATTATCATCATTCCCAGCAGAAACTAAGTCCAGAGGAATCAAGTAGCAAGCCTTGTCGTACAGCTGGCAGAGCTGGGATTTGAACCATGACACCCAAGAAATAAACACTATTATCATCATTCCCAGCAGAAACTAAGTCCAGAGGAATGAAGTAGCAAGCCTTGTCGTACAGCTGGCAGAGCTGGGATTTGAACACAGGCTCTCAGCCGCCCATACTGTCTCTCACTCCCTTCACTCCCTTTTTGAATGACGGACAATGGGTGGGTGGGCCACGCTGACAGCAATGACCCAGAAAGATAATGAAAGGAGGTCCCTCAGGCCTGTGGATGACTGTGGGACTTGCAAGGCTGATCAGTGGTGACAAGAGGTGAGTCCTTGGCCCAGCTAAGCTGACCTGACCGCCTTGCTGGCTTAGCCCTGTCCAGTGGTCTGTCTTGATTCCTCGCTAGATTTCCACCCCTGGGTTCTATGAGCAGAAAACTAGTCCTGCTGATGAGCAGAAGAAAACATCTGTGGGTGCTGGCACCAACTTCCTCCTCAGGGAAGTGTGAGGGTGGGAGGCTCCCACCTCAGGGCTCCCCTAGCTGCTGCAACCAAGCCCAGGGGCAGGGCTCTGTGTCAGCTGCGTGAAAGAGGTGTAAGCTTCTGGGGACGTGTGCTCTTATCTCACGGTCCCACTTCCTCCTCCGCCTCTGCTCTTCAATGGGACGGGTGTGGCAGGAAGTTCAGAGAGTCCAGGAGCAGAGGTGGCTCTGCTTGCCAAAGCCAGAAATCCACTGAGAAGGGTAAATGGATAAACTAAACAGTGTGAAAGAGCAGTGCGAGGACAGGGCAGACCAGGTCACACAACAAACATTCTGCACAGAGAATTTTAAAAGGGTGAATTGTTGCCTCACGTAGGCACAAGCTTTCCTCATTCTAGAGACTCTGGTTCCAGATGCACAAACCAACTCCCAGGTCTTTGTGTGATACGGATCTTTTTCATGTCCTGGGACTCTGTTGGCTACAGCTGTGCGGTGGGAGCTCCCACCCAAGCTTGGAACTACTTAGTCAGGGCACTGCTGGGTGCACTCTCACGTGGGTATGAGCCATGGTGTCTCCGAGCTCAAGCAAGTGTCATGCTTTATTTTTTCTCTCTCAGCTTTGACCTACTTTATTAGAAATCATCTTTTTAAGGGAA